TTCTGAATACGGGCCTATGTCTTTTACATAGCAAAAACAGCAATTTTTCCAAAAAAAACCAACTTTTCGGAAAAAAACCGAAATTTTTCCAGTTTTTTTCCATCAATTTGAAAAAAGTGGTTTTTTTAAAACTATAAATATATTATATATATTCTTTATTATTCTTTATTATTACTTATTTATTAAAGTAATTAGAAGAATATATTATACATTCAGTGTTGCAACATATTATAGTATTGCAATATATTATCCAATACTGTGTCTAATCTTAGATAATAAAACTGCGTACGTATGTACATACATACATACATAATAATGTAACAAAATAATCTAACATAATAATGTAAGAAAATGCATAGACACATGCATGAAGTTATTGCATAATGCATACGTCCATTGTTCCATACGAGTAACTAAGGCTGCGTTTGGGAATACACACCGAATGGCTTCAGGTATCAATTTATCTTTGTTTAACTTTTGGTGAACAAAGACAGACTGATACTTGGAGACACTCGGTGTGTATTCCCTCTCTCGAACGCAGCTTAATTGTTTTCGAGTTGGTGCCTGTCGTCGATAGGTCAGTTCTCTTGTCATTCTCGAAATTTGACATTGGCGTTCAAAGTAACCAATTATTAATATATATTTTACCAAAATACCGGAAAATATTGCGCGTATCATTTGTTCCTGGTATGTCTTGATAATATTAGGAAAAATCTGATATCTTGTAAGTTTTGATAAATTATTAGACATACTCTACTGTTAATAGTATAATAATAAAGTAACAGTATATTATACTATTGTACGTAATGTAACTATGATATAAATCGTAATTATATTATTTTAAATAAGTGATAATAGTAATTTTCATTCATAATTACTAATGCAATAATGAGCTCTACTCAATATAAGGTGAAATATATCTTTTTATATGTTTTTTCCTGAAATATATTGCAGTCAGTTATGGGTATAATAGGAATACTGTTAATTACTTACATTTGTTATATGCTGTATTTGTGTAATGCACAATTAGAGATAATTATTTATAAAGGGATTATAATTATTTGGAAAAGGGATTATACGATCTTCGTGCATGAAAAGATACTTCTAGTAAAATGCTCACTGCAGTTAATCGCGAACTAAAAGTACATGAAAAAAATGTTATATAATTTTTAAAGATTTTATCAGAAATAATGTATAAAAAGTAGGACAAAAGTAATTTTATCAAAAATTCTGAATAATTTAAAAAACAATATGTCTGGTTTATGAAGTGTATAAAGGTTTTAACCTCTTAACTTTACTACGTTTGAAACGCATTGACGATAAGTGTTTTACTGCACTGTTATCATCTCTTGCAAATTAGCATGCCAAGAATAAATTCGCAGAATTTTCATTTAGAAACTTTATCTTTTTTCACGATTACTTTGTTTTAGAATAGCAATTAAAGTATTTAATATTTTGTAATATAAATTGTCTATCTGAATAATTTTAAATAGTTATGAGTATCTGAATAATTTTAAATAGTTATGAGAAATATTTGTTTTTAAAATCAAAATTTAAATCCTAATCGGGCTCTAGAAATTAAAAAACAACAATATCATGTACGGACAATGAGAGCGTTATATTTGTTTCTGTATCTATTTTTGGTATTTTCGGTTAATAAAACTTATGTTGCTAATATGTTAATCGTAAAACTATTCGCAAATGCTAACACGTTATAATGCTCGACATATATTAGGTCGAGAATATTTTTGCAGATTGCACCTGTCGTTGTTAAATCAGTGTGGAAAATGTTTCCTCCGTTATGCTAGGCTGAGATTTACGTAACATGTTAACGAGATTAACCTTGCCGTAATTCACATAAATTCTGCACTTTTAAAGATATATTTATCGATTTTCTCCCAATTGATTATCAGAACAATACTAGAGTATATCAGATGTTCTGTGATGTTAAGGTAATCTAGTTTCAACATCGATAACTGAAAATTAATGGTTATAGAATATGCTAATCTGTACTAGAGAGTGTGCGTTATGAATGCATTACTTAATGAAGTTAACAATTTCACACTTGAAAATAAATGATAAAGGATAAAATAATCATAGAGTAAATGATCTTTTTCAACAAATTTTAAAAAATACCTAAAAACAGATAATCTTATCATGACGCAAACTGAGTGGGGTTATCAGCGATCAATATGTAATATCCTAGAACATGTACATAAAATTCTTCCTCGCTTTTATTCCACAGAATATTCGTATTCAAATAACATAGAATCGTCAAAAGAAAGAAATGAACGAATGTTCTAAAAATCCTGAGGTTGATCTTTTGATAAATTTGAAATTGCTTTATGTGGAATATTATTTCAAAAAAATATTAAGTGACATGTAATCTTGTCCATGTTTTAGAAGAAAACTGTCCTGCAACATGAAACAATCTAAAATTTCGGTTTGTCATGTCTAGGTTCACACATGTACTGTGTACAACAATCTCACGATCAATAAATCAAATCACGAGTACTGGTGAATCTCTCAAAAACTACTTGAAATGCAAAGTAGCAACTGAATCGATTCGCGTGCCGAAGGATCAACGGTGGACCTATCGTCGGTATATGGTCCCCAGGTGTTTTTAGACGATTGCAAGACGTTCAAACAGAATACATCTTTGATGAGAATGTCGCCGAACGAGGAAAGGGTAACGACGGCAATATGTCCTAAGGTAGAGACGGATTGTAACATGACGCTGAAAAGGAATCGGTTGGCGAACGATGAGTCGACGAAGAATCATAACACAACGACTCAGAAGAATGATGAGTCGACTGAGATTAAGTACGTACCGAGAATAAAGTGGCTGGATCTTAGTGCACAACTCTTCATACACGGCGGATGTCTTTACGGGCTGTATTTGGTACTCACGCAGGCAAAATTGCTTACTTCGCTATGGGGTAAGGCAAAATTTTTTTTAGCCCACATATATTTAATCCACCGTCAATTGTATCAATTTTTTATTTTAACATTGTAATAGAAATATTAATGCTCTTTTTATTAAAAAAAAAAAACCTATTCTTTATACATGTCGCTGTGCAATATTTTTAACTTTGATATAAATATCCTTTTGCAAATCTTTAATACAATATACATTTGAATTAGTCATTTTCATACTTTGAGATACCAAATATAGTTTCGTTATCGCTTATCAGGTAGACGGAGGTAAACTTATATAATCTGCATACACAGCGAATGCTTATTTGGTTTTACAATTTAATTAAAGCATTTGAGTTTATAATTTGACTAATATTGTTTTTTATCATAATACAAGATAAATAATAACTAATATTATATAATATTTATTACATTCCATCTTTAATTCTACAGTATGATTAATCTTTGTAACAAAAGTATAATTTAAACTTAACACGCACACATACACCAAAATCAACTTTTACTTTTTGTAATTCTATTTTTAAAATTTAACTATAACAATTCAAGTACTTAATTGCATGAATTGATATTACGATTACCTTGTGTTCCTTGTTACTGTAAAACAATCCTTGAAATATGAGTACGTTGGAAGTATTTAATTTACGATAGCGCAAGAATGTAGGTCGCACGGTAATTTCACGTTATTTGCGAGTTAATCACAATAATATCAGCATTGTAATTCTAATGTTGCAACGTGCTTGACTGTACCGAGCATTGGTCATCAATTTATTTCTTATCTACGAATCTGTCGTTTTTTAAGCATATTTTACGACGTGTGCAATGTGGATAGATGAGAGCACGCAATCGAACAAAATTATGTTGCCGGGGTAATTTATAAATGTCTTAGGTGTTATCAAGTTTTTCTCATACTTTAAATTGTGAAATAGTGTGTTGATAGTTGAAACAAGAGATAATTATGATAATTACTTTTTATGTTATAAATAATGCAAACATTATAATAAAGTTTTTTAGCCTCTAGCATATTTTCTCTGAATTCTTACAATTATATAATTTCTTGTTACCGTGTTACTTTCTTATAAGTCGAGATCGCTTATCGGTATAGCTGCGAAAGTTGGTTTAATACTAACTTTCGCAGCTGTACCGGCAAGGCCTGATATCACCAGGTGATCATAGCATGCATATCATGCGAGTGTCGAAATGCTTGCAATACATTTGTGTCATACATAGCAGAGTATAATTTACTTATAGTAGGAGTTGAATCACACACACGGCATTGGCCGTGGAAAATAAATGGCAAGATAGAAACACGCAAGGCTACGATTATGAAAACACTTATAAGAAAAGCCTGATAATGAGACGGGTTACGCAAATGCACATGTTTGCATTCGATTGACGTTTAAAGCCAACACTTATATCGAATTTACTGGCGTTGGATCTCGTAAAACGGAAGAATATGCCCCGATAACGATACTGCGTCTCGTATTTCTACAATGTGTGTTCGTGGTTACATTGCTCCGCGATATGGCGAATATACATCTCTTAACATCTCCTTACATCTAAGGAACGCGATAAAAGAAAAAGCAGCCGTTTTAATGTAATTAATTTATTCATAAAAATTTGTATAATTTATAATTTATTTTATTTTTCTTAAACTTTTAACATTATTTATTTTTGTAAGAGACCAAAAATTTGTTGAGATGGACGTTCCTAATTGACAGCGCGCACCTTCCAACGCTGCCACCTAGCGAGAGACCTTATTTTTTTAGATTATCTTAAGAACGCTTGAGATATGTTCCACTCTCCCGCTTCTCTCTCAAGTTCGCCCGCGTCAAGTCGTACTTATTTTGTCTATATTTCTCTAAGAATTAATTACGTTGCTATACTTGATCCAAATATATTGTCTCATACAACATAGCTTGATTGTTGTTCAGTTATCCGTCGATTCAACGGCCTTAACAAAATTAAATTATTAAAAAACCGAGAAAATATAGATACATAAGTATTTGAAATAAAAATAAACTTAAATAAACAAAAAGATAGCAAACATAGAAACATGGAAAATAGAATTAATAATTATTTTACAAAATTATCACTTACAAAGAATTTTTTTCTTTTCAAAAAAATAAGTAATAACCTAAAATCTAATGTAGCAAATGCATAGTAAAATATTCTAATGTTGCTGCTTCTCTTTAACCAAATATATATCATTAATATTTTTGAGAATGTTTTGATGGATATATTTTTTATAATTATAGCGTTTGTGACCATTTATACATCTGGCTTTGGTATTACGGCTGGCGTTCACAGATTATGGTCGCACAAGGCATATAAAGCAAAATGGCCCTTGCGTCTATTTCTAGTCTTCCTCTTCACGATAACAGGACAGGTGCGTTTAAATTCTTACGTAATAATAATAATCTTTGTACAATAATAATAAGAATTCTCTTTTACTATTGTGATTGCGTCATTAATGCTGTCACACAAAACATATTATTTGAATTAAAGCTTATATTTATATATACACAGAGTGGGAGCAATATGGTCCCTAAAATTTCTTCGAATATGTAAGTCCAAAGGAAATTTGTGTAATCAATGTTGCACGGTAATTACGGTACAAAGGGGACATTATTATATGGCAATAATAATTTTTTTCAAGTAAGTAGAGAGATGCTCTGGAGATATAAGATTATCTTCATTCCTTAAAATGAGTTTATGGTATGTTCTTTTTTAATAATACTGATAGAAGAGATTAAAATCAAAATTCATGACTCAGGATTATTGAACAAAATTAAAAATAAGAAATATAAAAAAATACGCGCGCGCGCTTTTTATATTAAATAAAACTTACTTTTGTTTTATGTGACATTTTATTTTTTATTTCAATCTTGTTCAATAATCCTGAGTTATGAGTTCTGAACTAGTTTTGATCCTTTATCACTGTAGAAAAAAAGATGTCGAACTTATGCAAACAAATAAAATTGAAAATCTTCTTATCTCTGAAGCGTCTTCACCTCAACAAAAATTATTATCGCCATATGATAACTTCCTTCGTACTATTTTGTACTATCTTTCAGAACACTTCCTTCGGAAGTGATAACTTTATAGATTCAAAACTATTTGTTAGTGATAAAATTATTGCTACACTTTGTACATACAGAATGTTCCTAAATAATTACGAAATATACATTGGGTTAGAATAAAAGTTTATAGTGCTACAAACTTTATTAATACAAAATTCAAGCAGTTGTAACTTTGTTAAAAATAAGCAAAATTTAAATTAAAAAAATTTTTTTTTAATTTAAAATCTATTTTTTAAAGATCATTATGTATTTTCAATTTCTGAGTTTGGTAATTTTTTACATACAAAAAACTACAAGCTGGACAAAATGCGAAATTTTCTTTTCATTTTTATAGACTTGCCTAAAAAAGACTTACTAAAATTTTCGATTTTCTAATATAAAAGTTTAAAGTTTTTTCTAAAAATTTGTTTTTGAAAATGTTCTTAAAATTTTTTATTACTGACTTACCGCGGATTAAATAAAAAAAGCATTTTGACTTTGGTTGCTCATAACTGCGTTAAAAATCATCATCCATAATTTAAAAAAACAGATTCTTAAAGCTGCAAGTTTTGCTCCATTGAATGATATAATTATTAATTTTTTTTTTTAACAGTAGCGTTACGAAATTTTGTTCCAAAAAAATATGTGTATGTATAATATATATCCAGTGTATAAGTTCATCAAAGCTAGCCTCTCTGTTAATATATATACAGGATGTTCCGAAATTTGCGAATTAAAATACTACAATAAAAAAGTTCTCGAAAAAATAAGTTATAAAAATAGTTGTTATTTGTCATTCCGAGCAGTAGTTTTCGAGACATAAGAGTTAAAAGCTGACCAATTATAGATTACGGTTAAACTACCATCTATTTGTGAGTTGGTATATAATTAAAATGTTAACTTTCTGAGGACCGGATGTTTTTAATAGACTAGAACTTTTTCAACAATGTCATGGGGTTGAGTGGCGAAAAAGATGTGACGCCACTGTCGAGTCCCTAAAGGGGCCTCTGGTTCTCCAAAGGTTAAATTTTATCTTAGGTTTACTCTATTTTCAGTAATTTCTGTTATCATAAGATATGCTTTAATAATGAATTTTAATTGCAATAAAATTTCTGCAATACATATTGTAGTTATAATACAACAAAATGCGTGAAAAATATAGACCTTTTTGTAATTTTAATTGCAAATTCTTGAAAATTGTAACACGATGGAGCAATTTGGAAAACGGATTTATATTTAGCATCAACAAAAAACTATAAAACATATGATTAGTCTTGTTTTAGTACTCAAGAAAAAGTCATTTTTTTGTTGAATAGTGTAATCTATAATTGGCCTATTTTTAACATTTATCTCAAAAACTACTACTTAGAACGACAAGTGGCAAATATTTCTATAGCTTATTTTTTTGAAAACTTTTGTAGAGGAGACAAAAATTTTTTAAGACATTTTCTATGATATAGGGATATCGAAATTAATAATGCCAAAGTCTTGTCGGACAACAAAATAGGTGATAAAAAAAATTTACTCATCTCAACTTGGTTTTCTTAAAAGTCGTTGTAAACAATATGTACAATGCTTTTGGTGCAGACCATTTTACACAACAAATTAATGTTATATTAATCTATAGTAAAAAAAATTTTTCTGCCATGTACTGATTGAGTTATAAGCTTTTTGACAATCAACCCTGTACGACAACCGGCCTCGGTTTTCTTTATCGTATTTTAATTCGCGAATTTCAGGGACACCTCTATATATACATATATTTAAAAAATAAATTAATGATTTTTATCAAGGTCTTAATAATATTCTTTTTGTGCAGAAAGATGTGTATACATGGGCGTTGGACCATAGGGTACATCACAAATATAGTGAAACTGATGCAGATCCGCATGATGCGAGAAGAGGTTTCTTTTTCGCTCATGTAGGATGGCTTTTTACAACACCCCATCCTGATGTCGTCGCCAAACGCAAAGCAGTCGATGTGAGCGATCTAGAAGCGGATCCCATAGTTATGTGGCAAAAAAGGCAAAAGACTTATAGTATTCGTTACGTCATTCGTTTTTTCTTACAAGGAACATTATCCAATATATACACGTCGATTTTAGTGAAACTTTTATTACTGAAAGTACTTGCAAAATGATGAGTCACGATATTCATTTCATCGGTATTTAGGAAAAATTGAAATGTTTATAGAAAACTGAAAATTGTTAAAAAAAAAAGCATGTTAAAATACGCTATCAAATACCACTTTGCATGTGTGAATAGTTTTTGAAATATTTTTGCTTACTGAATCTGTTGTCCAAATTTAGTTATCATGTTACAATTTAAAAAAAAAAATGGTGTTGAGGGGAAGTCAAAAACTTAAAGATTTTAAAGATTTTTTAGACGTTGTAGCACCGGCAACACAAATTTTCTTAATTAAAGAGAGAGAGTAGTAATTTTTAGCTTTAAAATGCGTCTTATTTTATGTCAGTATGATTCTTCATTTTCGAGATATAACCATTTAAAACACTTTTTTAATCAAATCATATTAAATAAAGAAGTAATAGGAAATTGACAAGGTACAATATGGCAGGAAGATTATAATTTATTATATGAAAAGAACTATTTTTAAATCGCAATATTTCGAAAATGGAAAATCATACTAAATGAAGTAAAATGCATTTTAAAGCTAAAACTGATACTTCGGCAAAGCATTAATAAAATAAAATAAAAAAATTTGCTGTTAGTGTTACAACTTAAAATCTACAAAATCATTTTTTTCCATTTTAGCATCATTCTCTTCAGAATTGTGACGTGATTTAAGCCAAATTTGAGCAGTAAATTCGTGCTTAGCAGGCAAAAATAAATTGAAAATGATTAGTCACAAGAAGTTGCAAAATAATGTTGGAAAGTGTAATTTTTTCATATTTTTTCGATTTTTAGTTTTTCATGAAAATTTTAATTTTTCCTATTAAAAATATTGATAATTAAATATTGTCAATAAAATGGATATCTTTATTTATTATTTTGCAAGTATTTTTATAATGGAGATTTTATCAAAATTGACATGTACATACTGAGAATGTTTCCTGTTAACATTATAAAAAGAAGTAAACTAACTAATATATAAGTAAAATAGAATATATATCAAAAACATCTTTATTATTATATTATATTGTTCAGAAATTTGTGTATCATCTTTTGTGACATAATTAATTTTATATCAATTTATCCATATAGGTTATATATACCTCTATTTGCACTTCTAACCATCGCACTTCCGGTGGGAATTCCTTGTTACTTCTGGTCGGAGTCGCTATGGATATCGTTTTGGGTGAACTTCAATTTTCGCTTCTGCATCAATTTAAACATAGCCTTCTCTGTCAATAGCGTGGCACACATGTGGGGGCAGAAACCTTACGATAAGTACGTATTAAATCACAAATGTATCGAAAATTGTCGCTGATGGGATAATTGAAAATAAGCAACTTTTTTTAATTCGATGAATTTTTCACATGATATTCTCTCTCTCTCTCTCTCTCTCTCTCTCTCTCTCTCTCTCTCTCTCTAGTCTAAATATCTTTTTGAAACAGAATGTGATTATTTGCTTATAGAAACATTTCGCCAGTGGAGAACATTGCGGTATCAATCGCGGCGCTTGGTGAGGGATATCACAACTATCATCATGTATTCCCATGGGATTATAAGACCGGTGAGCTAGGCGAGTACCCATTCAATCTTAGTACCGCCTTCATTGATGCATTTGCATGGATCGGGTGGGCCTACGATCGGAAGTACGTCTCACCAAGTATGATCCGTCGTAGAGCACACCGATGTGGCGATGGAAGTCACGTCTGGGGTTACGGTGATGTCGACATCTTGAAAGAAGATCTAGAGGAATTAGATGTCATGGACAATCACGAGCTGTGAGACTGAAAAACTCGAAAAAATATGTTGAGGAGAAGCATTTCCTAATATGTCATACGTGGACCATGTAAAGTCTTTCGTAGAGATTTGATTTAAAGTAATATAGAGATTTAAGATTCTGTATAACTTTAGATTATATACAGTATACACCATTGGAAAATGTTCGTATACAGTATATACCATTGGGAAATGTTTAATGTAATAATTATCGAATTAAAGAGATATTTTAATTGATAGTCGGTAAAGTACAGTTGGCGATTATAGTCAACAATTAATAAATAAACTATTTTATTTATGACATGAATTCGTCATAAAATTTATTGTAGAATTAATATACATATATTTTGGTCGTTTATTTATTTTTATACTTACGGGATTTGTCAGCATTAATTATTGCAGTAAGATAATAGTAAATATAATATTTACCGTGACAGTGTAGAATGGTAAAGAAACGATAATATACAACTTCGCATAATCGAGGATCCATTGTTTGATATAAGGAAAGTCACTATTTAATATAATACGTACTATTATTTTTCGTATAATTGTACGTAATCGTTATTTATAGGTATTATATGTATAATCGTATAGCGGCATTATAAAAATTTCTATTTTATTTAACATGAATGACGAAAAGTACAACAATCTAAATGGGAATCTTATTAAATTAGTATGTTCTATAATAAATGTATATAGGGGGAGATTGAGGCTAAGCTGGCATTTAAATTTTGAGTGGCAAAAATATATCTTATGAGTTCCTAATTTATATTGTAGACAACATTTCGTGCGTCTTCTTTACCAACAAAGTTTGGTTAGTTTAGGTGTCGCGTTATGTTTAGATAGTCAAATATGTTTTCGATAGTCAAAAGTAATTTTTGAGATTTTATTTTCCGAGATCACATCATCTTTTGTATATATGGATGAAATGAAGTTGCAAACACCAAAATTTTTTATTGCCATCTTGTAGTCTTATAATCATTCTATAAAACGCTAATAATCATTTGACTAAAATCGAAGATGAGAATAAAATAATCACATGCTATATATTAAGATAATTTTATCAACAAATCTTTTTTGTATTTTATGAGTTTCGTGCAAAACCAAATTTTTGTTAATATTTCGTGAAATACATATCAGGATACAGTAATATTGATATAATTCATTTATATAATTTTAATATAATTTATTTTTAAAATAAAAAATTATTTCATGTTTTAATAATATATATCTTTTCTTATAATTTTACATATACTATAGTTACGCTTAGTTTCAAGTTTTATATATATGTATATATACTTTGGTATCTCGAAATGTTATTTAGACCAATTAGATTAAATAGATTGTAAATGGTAACATTTATGATGCCTTTTATTAGTATATATATTCTTTCTAATAGTTCCTATATTATTTGCAGACAAACCTCTATATGTATATGCTAAATAGTGTGTTAAATGTGTTTGATATTTAATATGAAATATTAACAAAAAATTTACGGAAATTTTCTATGCAAGTTGCAGTTCAAAAATTATCTAACGAAATCTTTTAAAATATGTTCAAGATTAAAATATATAAAAAATTGTAATTTATGATATATAAATAATTATGGGATAATAAGAATCTTATTATATACTTACTTATGTAAGTAAGTATATAAATGATGTTCATAAATAAATATATTACAATAATCATTCGTGTTATTGCGTGCAACAATTAAACTTGTTATAAATTTCAATACATTTAATTAAATAATAAAGGACTTAAATATAACCAATCAAAAAAAAATATAAGATATAATTAAAATTATTATATTCGCAAACAATTGCCTCAATATATTTTCTAATTGCATAATTTTTTTAAAAAGTAATATTTAAGACGTACAACTTTAATAGAAAAATAAAAATTTTAATCACAATCTAATCGAAAGCGTTAACACAGTTACAATAATTTATATAATTATATTTGTATCTCTGTACACATACACATGCATGATTAATCTGAAAGAAAATGCAAATAAAGAAAGCATCGTCTTTTAATTGACAATGGAAATTTATTTTAATCACAAACAAAGTGTAAAGTGCATTCGCAGCATAATAGTATTCTGCATATACATTGTACTGTTAAAAATTTCATGAAATTTAATATACTTTTAATTTACACAACTTGAACTTAATATTTCATGGCATTATATTAAATTTAATGTATTTATAACTGAAAAGTATATTTGTGTACATGTACATGAAATTTAATGTATTTTTCATGAAAATTTATGAAATTTAATGTACATGTTCATTACATTTAACTATTGTAACTTAATTTTCAGTTAAATCATTCATTACTTTTAATTTCATTCATAACCATGAGCTTCATTTACATGTAAAGAAAGCTCGTAGCAACATTTCTAACAGTGTAGGTTTTTGATTGCTCAATGTTAAAATGAATATTCATAAAAATGGCCTAACCCAATGATGTGCAACTTTTTTTAAACGAAGAGCCATTTTTTTTAAATGTAGACAAAAAACCTGTATGTTATTACAATGTGTATATAAAATAAACAAATAAGAAATTTTTTTATCATAATATCAAAAAGAAAATTATTTATAATTGAAACTATATATAATTTCTTACAATAATTTACAATTATAAAAACAAGAGAAATAAAGGGCATCTACCACGAGCTAACTAGCATGAATTACCATTAGAATCTGGAAATTATGTGGTCGAGTACAACAATTAAATAACATCGTGGAACATGAAAATTGTATTGAAAATACACACCGGACTGAAGTAAAATAAGAAAGCGAACGAATTGATTTAAATATATGGACATGTAACGAAGGAGAAAAAACTCAACCTTTAATTGTATATTATTCTGCGTTATTTATAGTTATATACTGATGATGACCCAATATAGTAGATCGAACCGTCTATTTTATTTTATTTAATGTAATTTTAAGTAATGACTTCGAAAGAAGTTTTGCTATAAGACATCGAGCGCTCGTGATAGATGCTTTATTTTTCTTGTTTTTAAATTTTGACCACCTATATTGACAATTAATATTTACAATTATAATTTTAATTAATTTATAATTATAATTATAATTTCTTTATTGATATTAAGATTAATTTTTTTATTTGTCTATATTTATTCCAGTGCTTTAATTTGACTGTGTAGAAATAGTTATCAGAATGATATTAACTTGGAATTTTATCTCATCAATAAGGAAATGAAAAATTTAAGATAATTTATAAAAATCATATATTTAACAAATATGTCATTTACTTATAAAATAGAAGCTACATTTTCAAATATAAATTCTTAAAGAATTTTTAAATATTTATATTACAAGTGAAATTGTAAACATAATCTGTACACATAATCTTATTATTTTAATAATTTACATAAAACAGAAGATATAATTTTGTATTTTCAGCTGTATTTGAGCCGATTAGCCGCAGAAAATTAATTGGCGTACAGCGGGTTGCGCACTGGCCTAAACGAATAACTTCTAATGGGAAATCTCAATGGTAGATGTAGACTTGTAGCTTTTTAAATGATAACAATAAATGAAGCACTGAAGTAAGAAAACAGTTTTTCTTGTAAGATAGCATGAGTATCAGACTGTAATATATGAACAGCAAAACATAAGCTGCTTTCAATTAACTTATAATGTTTAATTTAATTAAAATTTATTATTAACCGAGGTCGTATTTTTAAAAGACATGTAAATCCTCTAGACATATCTAATCTATGTTTTACGAATATGTTTGTCGATCTGAATAATATGAAACATATAATATTTCGCGATGCATGAAAAAATGCATAAAAAGTGAGAAACAAGAAATTTTTGTAATGATAATAGGAAGGTATATACAGCCTCGTAGCGTGATACGTATTTATCGTAATACGTATTTATCATAATTTTTGTATAACAAATACTTTTTTCTCTTTCATAGATTCGAAAATCCTTTTCCAGGATTAAAGTATACACATTAATACGTGTTTGTGAGGTGGAATTTATGCTGAGAACGACAAAAAATTTCGAAATTGAAAAAAATTTTAAGAAAAATTTTTTATCGTTCTCGACATAAACTCCACCTCACAAACACGTATTAATGTGTACTTCAATCCTGGAAAAGGATTTTCGAATCTTATACAAAAGTTACGATTTAGTCGGTAATACAGATGGCTTTAGGATCCTCATCATTCACGTGTTATACGTATGCGCAATTAATAGACTCATCGAAGTTCAACATACAGGAAATGACGAGGAAAAAGCAACTTATTTGTGTTGGTAATGAAATTCTGAATAGGGTCGTAAAGGTAATCTGTGTAGTTCTTTTCTGATCTTTCAGAAGCGCGTTTCAGTGCGACATTGTTTCTAAAAGTAAGTAATATAGAGATACATCTATCTTTCAGATAAAGGAATATATGTTGATGCTTCTTGTATATTTCTTTCCATTAATTTATATTTTTCTTTTAACTTTTCTTCCTTTTTTCTCGTTCTTTAATCCCCCCAAAAAAGTCCAACAATATCTATCGTTTCTTCAGATATTAGTTTCTAAATCGCTGCATTAATTTCTAAATATATTATATAACTAAATTATATAAATTAACTATAAATAACTATAACTCTATAACTATAACGATTATATAACTTTAAATTAATTTATAACTTGCCGTTATATTGGAAATAAAATTATTTAAAATGTTTTGCATTTTTATGAAGTCCTAATTTTCTGATTATTGTTGTAATTAATTAATCTTATCCAATTTTTTGCTGTTGTAATATCTTTTAACAAGATATTATAATTATCAATTATATTTTTTCTGCTATCCCACAACAACTGATTCTTTGTAAAAGTATTGATATTAATTTTAGATTTTTTATATATCATAGTCATAATATCGACATGAAGGAAACTATGGAACAGAATAATAGCAACAGCGTTAGTAAAAGCAATGATGAAATAAAGAAACGTTCCATGAAGTGGACTGCCGTTCTGTTTTATATTTATCTCCACGTTTTTGGACTTGCTGGGTTATACTTTTTATTTTTCAAAGCGAAATGGCTAACAGTATTCTACTGTAAGTATCGTAAATCATTACGTAGAACTACAAACAACAAATGATAGACATAGAATTAATAAATTGTTTATTGTGTGATTAGCTCATTTTGTAATAGAGACAAAAATAAGAATTTTCTTTTGCAAAAGAATGTTTACATTAAATTGCAATTGCCATCAAGTATCCCGTGAAATATAAATTTTAAATATGCATTTTCCATAAATAAAATCATCTGCCAATGCATTTTTAGCTGATATTCATAATTTTTCTTAAGATGTTATAAACTAAAGCCGCATAACATTTTAAAACATTATTTAAGATAATCTTGGAATAAGGACTAACTGTGGAATATCGGTCTTTGTAATAATATGTTTATCATTTTCTTTTTGATAGTCATTTAACTAATGGTCTCCTGTTTTGATGATTTTAGTTTTATTTCTGGTCACAACTAGTTCCATAGGACTGACGGCGGGAGCTCACAGATTATATGCACATCAAACATTTTTTGCCACATCACGAATCAGATTCTTCATAATGCTTGCACACACTTTCGCAGGCGTGGTAAGTAAAAGATTTATGTAATATTAAATATTTAATATTATTCAAGTATTTAAATAGTTTAATAAATATGAATAAGTATGTTGATTAATCAAAATACAATTATGTTTATAGTAATAAGATAAAATTTAGAATTAAATGAATTCCCGTTTCATAATAGTATGTTACTTTTAATTTTTTTTTATATTTTCATGGTTATTAAGTCCGTCTATACATTATCTATATCCTTAGTATATTGAACATTTTTGTATGACTGTGTCGCCACATCATTCTTTTGACAAATGCAATTTCGAAAAATTTGTAAAATTTTTAGTAATTTTATTTAATATAAAATAATATTAGTGTAGTACTAATAACTATTATTTGGTTGTTGTATTCACCAAT